TGATAGTGATTCTTTGGTGTGCAAAATAGAAGTTGATTGGGGTATATCTGAATGCACACATAATTTAGGCATAAAGGTAACTACAGAAGTTTTAGTCTGTTTAATAAGTACTGTTCACACACTATGAAGTCCTTTGGCTGATCCAGTGGAATCACTCACTAGTTGGCCTCACCTTTTACCTCCTCCATCTTTGTCTCTGTGTCTAGCTCCTCATCCTCCTTCTGGAGTTCAGTGATTTGTACCCAAATATCTTCCTGGGTCTGCTCTTTCTTGGAGCAGTCTTTTGACATATAGCTTTTCTGACCACAGTTGAAACACTTTTCCTCTTTCTTAAGCTGGTCTATATCCATCAGCTTTTCTGTTCTGGTGTATGTGGTTCTGGTGCCCATCTTCTGGGCTGAGTATAATAGGCTAGCCATCAAAGATCCTGGTTTACTGCTTGAGTTAGTTGTCTTGGACCCAGAGGCCTGTGACTGGTTCAGCTTTCAGTAGTCTTGCAAGGTGGCTTGCTCTGCCTTCTGTTATTGTTATTCCTTGTACATCTTGATGATCCATTTCTTTCATTTGTTATATCCCTTTGGGATCAGTTGTTTGATCCCAATAGCAGTGATCATCATGATGTATGAGGATGGGACTCCTCTTTTGAGGACCTCAATCATCCTTCCATTGTCTGTCACATCATACTATATACTGGCAAGCTTGATGAGCCATTCCAGCTCATCAAAGTAGTCAGATGCTGTTTTATCTCCTATCTTGAACTCCTTGATCTTCTGTTTGTGCACTTCTTATACAGCCAAATCAATGAATTTATCATGAAGCATCTGCTTGAACACTGGCCATGAGGGATACCAGTAGTGTCTCCTCATGGTGGATTGAAAGTTGGGTGAAATCAAGATCTATTAGGTCTTCACCTTGTCTTCTAAGTACAAGATGGCAACAATGACCTGGTTCATGTCTATTCTGAGGTTTCTGGTATATATCTCAAAATATTTTTTACAGTTGACCAAAAACCAGTTGATATCATCTGATGCTCCTTTAAAGGGGTGGAGCTTTCTGAGTAGGTCTGATTTACATTGTAGGATAGTGGCATTCTCTGATAAGGCATCCATCAGATTGGGCCATTTCTCAAAAGGCAGACACCATCACTTGTTCAGTGATCCAGAGAAGGAATGAAGAGAATTGTCATCAGCCATAGGGCTTCCCTGAGGTCCAGCTTCCTTCCATACAATCATCTTATCTTATATGGTGAATTCCAATTGGACTGTCTTGGGGTTGTTCTGAATTGGTTCCTTTTCTATGCCACTCCCTGAAGCTTTATCTGAAGGAGATTGTGTGGCTAGTAACTGGCTTTCAGCTTCTGTCTATGGGTTTCTGTAGCTGGCATGCCAAGGTTTGGGCTGGGCTCAGAATCAGAACAGCTAAGTGGCTGAGGTTTGTACTGAAGAGGTTGAGTATAAATACATGCTTTGGATTGATGGGGCTATATATATGGCTCATTTTGGCATGACAGATGGTGACTAAGGTATTGGTCAGATCTTAAATGGCAACTGATATGCCAGTAGTCAGCCAAGCTGGTCTTCTGGGTGGTTCTTATTGTAGGTCCTGGCTGTGATTCTATATGCAGTTTCAATGGAGTCTAGAGAATATTGTCAGCATTATTCCTTAAGGCAGAGACAGTAGACTATAATGTCAGAAGTTACAGGCACAGAATACTATCTATAGTTACCCTTTAAGATCTTCTGTTAGATCTAGGAAATGCAAGAATAGCATGTAAGAGCAGTGAATCTCTTTTATGATTTTGGAAAGAAAGCAGGACAAGTCAATAATTCATAAATTAATAAGTTTACTAGTGTTATATGCAAATCTCCAGGTGAGGCACAAGGTTGTTGAGATGCTATAGTGCTCTCAGTCAAGAAGTATTGATCTATATGTGGTCTGTGTAACTGATTCTATTAGAGGGATGTTGCACAGATGTACAGTTTAGTACAGATGTTGAGTAGTCTCTGTATGGCTTGTGTGTAGGGTGTTCCTCCTCCTTTTCTATTGTATAGTACACTACTTATACTATTCTCTTATTAATCTTAAGTATGCTATATTAAACAGCATTTGTAACTGTAGTACTATGCTTAGTGAGCATAGTGAACTTTTTATTATGTGAAGCCTTCAAGGCTGCGAGGCTTATAGTAAACATAGCATATTTAAAAGTTCATGTAGCTAATAGTACAATAGTTCTCCTAATATTCCTTACAAAGATCTAACCAACCACATGGTTAGTCTTCTGCAGCCTACTAGTCTTCTATATGCTAGCTGTAAAAAGCTTAGATATCTGCAATCAGCCTTATATACATGTTGCAATAGATCTTGTGGATCATATTAGAGTGTCATATATATACTAATAATGATATATGTCCTATATGATTAGGTATTGTGGTGCCTGACTGTGCTTATAACACTTATTATTAAAGCAGAAAGTTCACATGCTATAAAAGCTTATGTGCAATGTAAAAACTTCATATATAAAAAGTTTGCATGCCAGAAACAGTTTGCATTCTCTGAAAAGTTTGAAAAATAAAAAGTTCACAATGAAAGTACTTGCATTAGACTTGCAATGATTGGTTTAAGAGTCTAGAGGCTTATTAGTGAATTATAGGTTTGCTAACTTGTTATTTGGATTGCATAATAATATCCAAGTCATTCAAAGGTATTCTAAGTGATCTGGAATGCCTATAATATCAATTCTGAATGTATTTGGGATTGTTTGAATAAGATTTGAGAGGAGGATTTGTAAGTGTTAGTATAGGCCTTGTGAAAGAAGTGAAATATTGCTTGAATTATTATAGATCTGTGAATTTTATGAGCATACAAAGTCTGGAGGCTCATCATCATATATTGACTTTAGCTTGAGACTAGAGTATATCACTATACACTACTGACTTAAATACTGTATAAAAAAGTCTTGGTGATCTCAACCAAGCCATATCTTAGTGTCTCAAACCAAGCTTTGGCTGGACATGATTTAGAGGCCAAAATCATGACACTCAGAATATGTCATGCAATATATGGAACAATGGATGCTTGTAATGCATGGTTTCATAAGTTGAATAAGACATTCACACTTAAACACATTCAATCTCATGCAGATTCATATACATGGCTAATAAAATATGAGAGAGAACAAACTATTACATGCATATACACTGACAATGTTTCTGGTGCCTCTTCATCTAAGGCTGAGAGAGAGTTAATGAGGAAAGAAATTGGATAGGTATATGACATCAAAGATATAGGCAGACATAACAACATGCTGAAGATAGTATTAGAGTTTGACAATAATGCTGGATCAATCTCATCACATCAAAAAAACCTCATAATGAAGACTCTAGAGTGATTCAGCATGCTTGAATGCAAATCAAAAGCTACTCTCTTACCAGTTGGAATGCTAGCTGTCCTTGACATTCAATCAAGGCCTATTCCAGTGTTTGACACAGAGTTTATGGAACACAAGGATTACAAAGTTATATAAGGGTTCTTAACTCATATCACCAATAAGACTCACCCAGACATTGCTTTTGCTATGAACTACCTCTAACACTTCACTTCAGACCTTCAACTCATCTATTGGAATAGAGCAATGCATGTACTAGCCTATCTCAAGAGAATAATGCAGTATAAAATCATGTACAAAACACTAAAGTGGATGATAGATTAACACCAGTTGGATACATAGATTCATCATGTAGAAATGACTGTATCACTGAGAAATCCACAATGGGGTATGTTTTTCAAATGGCAGAAGGACTCATTTCATAGAGTAGTCATGCATAAAAGAGAGTGGCACTATTAATAACAGAAGCTGAATATATTGCTTCAGTCTATAGAGAATGACAGTCAATATGAATGAAGTCTTTCTTAGATGAACTAGAGATTGAGAAGAGTCAACTTTATATAATTTAGTGTGATAACAACAGCACTATTGATCTCATAAAGTCAACCAAGGGTCATGAGAAATCAAAACACTTTGCATTGGATTATCATTTGATTTGAGAGGCTGTACAACTCAAGGACCTTGATATCAAGTATATTCCATCTGAAGACAACCTTGTGGACATCTTCACAAGGACAATTTCCAAACCACATGTGACAGATCTCTTATGATGTATGGGATTCACTAGAGTTTGATCATGATGGGTGTCAACTTCAGAGAGTGTGTTGAGAGGTTCAATCAATACCTCTATTGGACTTTCCAGATTGTCACTATTTAAGTTCATATTCAGTAGCACAATCACAGCCATGCTTTAGGATATTTTTTCATTCTATAGTACCTCAGTCTTTTGACAGAATAGCAGCATGTAATCCACATGCTTAACCACTTCTCTCTTGCTAGTTCTTTTGATACTCACAAGGATGCTTGGGAATGTCAGCTTGGCACAGCTGATAGAATTGTTGGTTCACTTTGGAAGGTCTGAAAAAAGTTTTTATGAGAATCCCTATTTTTTTGCTATAATGTTGTATATTTGGAGCATAGAATAATAACATATCTATATTAAATTATGTAGTATTAGTAGCAAATATTAATTTAGACACCAGATTTCCAAATTAGAGTACTAGGTTCAAGTTCAACTTTCCCACCCAAAATAGGCCTTGCCACTTGTCTTTAACACAATCATAGATGTGAGGCAAGATGGATAAGTGATTGGCCCATTATTCCTTACACAGGGACTGACTGTTGATTAAGTTCCATCTATCCTGTTTGGGTAGGAGTCGAGTGCCCAAGAATTGGGTGTGTGATGCCTGTCGAGTTCAGAGGGATTAAGGTTGCAATGTGAAGGGGAGGTTGCAATGAAACTGCCGGAAAGGGTCATATGGCTTAGTCATGAAATTGATTGCGTCATTGTCGATCACGTGGTTGGGTGGGCACCCCTTCGATGCCTGAGAATAAAATTTCGACCCCATGTACAAAATCGAATTTGGTGAGCACCCTTGGGTACTCATAGCTGCCTCGTTCTTGAAGTTCATGTCTTTAGAAGAGCTGACATGAAGGACATTGCCGAACAAGTTTCCTATATCTATGTGCAAACAGATCATCAAAGAGGTGTTAGTTAGCTTGGATTTTCTTCATGTGAATGCAGTTGGCATTGATTATCTTTCAAGGAAGTTATTGTATCGAAACCTGCTCATGCTCATACGGTTTCCACCTCAAGTTTCAGTTTTCAGAGCTCTTTCCCTCGTATCATCGCTTCCCTCAATGTGGATGTTGCCTTTAGCGCTTGTGAAACAGGGGGACCAGCTCCCCCGGGTTAGCGCGCCACCTCCCCTCGATCATGTCCGGGGATTACATTTCTAGTGCTCTTTTTTTGCCAGGCCTTGATACCCGCGCTGGGTTTCCGGGCTCCCATTGAGTTGTGGATGTGCATATAGCGATCCCCCATTCCGTTCTCCGATATGATATATGACCATCGGCACGGTGATCTCGGATACCAGAGGATATAAGTACCGCAGCTGTGCCTTGGACTGCGGGACCACTCGTCTGCTTGTACCGGGTAGTCTACGTGTAGATGAAGACCGCTTTTATTGGGAAATGGTGTTAGAATTGCAAGGCTGAGCACAAGGTTACTTCCTTGTCACTCGCGACATGAGGGCTAACGACGAAATATACAGGCTTATATACTCCGAAATCCCTTCGGAAGCGAGAAAACACGTAAGAGGATTCATATGACAACCCAAACGACGGCAGACCGGAAAATCTTTGTTTTTCACAAATGGGAGCGCCCAGTTCACATGGAAATCAATCCCCTTTGGAGTGCCTCCGCCCTCACCGTTTCATGTCGCCGTTCCTTGCCAGTCCAACATATCCACACGAAATCCGCATAGTACGCCAAGGCATCATAAACGTCGGTCACAACTCCAATCTTAGCATTCACTGCCAAAGCCCGGCGCTCACTCTCATCATGACCACCTCTTTTGGCATCCATTTGCTGCGCCAATTCAGACATTGTATTCTTTAAAAGCACGCCTGTACCTGGTGTTTCTCTCCAAAAGATGTTTTTACAGCTTCTCTTCCTAGCATCTATATGTTCAGCAACGATCTACGAAAGACTCTCGGACGTCCCGACACAGGACTTTGATTATATTATTGTAGGGGGTATGTACCTCTCGTCGAGTACCTACTATACACCGCTCACCGTCTTACTCGCAGGCGGAACGGCAGGAAACGTCCTCGCCAATCGTTTGACAGAACAAAAGAACACGTCGGTGCTCGTCCTTGAAGCGGGGCAATCGTGCGCTATTCTTTCTTCTTTCTCATACATTAAGCTCATATGGTTCGCAGGACCGCTGATGTCCTGCTTTCTCAGGTGCCGTTCTTCTGCACGGAGGCGACGCCTAACACACTATTAGACTGGAATTTTACCACCACATCCCAGTCCGGCTTGAATGGACGGTCTATTCCGTATGTGAGAGGATTTGGATTGGGTGGGAGTAGCGCCGTTAGTGAGTGCTGTCCATTCTTGTTTTCCTGTCGGTGGGAGCTCATATGTTTTTAGATTATATGACATACACGCGTGGTTCGTCGGAGGACTATGATCGATACGCTGGTGTTACTGGGGACCAGGGGTGGGGGTGGAACAAGATGCGGCCATATATTCTAAAGGTCGAATTTGTCAAACTTATCTCGGGTTACACTAACTTTTGTGGATGTTCATAGACTGAACGCTTCGTCGCCCCTGCGGACCATCACAATACCACCGGTCAATTCAATCCTATAGTGCATAACTTTGATGGGATGAACTCCGTCTCACTCCCCGGATACCCACGTACTATTGATGAACGGGTCATCCAAGTTACAGGGGAGCTCCCGGATGAGTTTCCGTTCAATCTAGATCTCAATTCTGGATATCATCTGGGTATTGGTGAGTGCGATTGAAGTCAATGGGTGTGTCTTGGACTGATCTCGTTGATCATGGCAGGCTGGCATCAAAAGAGTATCGGGAACGGGACGAGGAGTACTTCGGAGACGGCGTATCTCGGTCCTGGGTACGTCGACAGGGAAAATCTGCATGTGCTTGTCCATGCATACGTAACCCGAATACTTTCACTGAATGATTCGAACTCAGACGGCTTACCACTATTTAACGCTGTCGAGTTCACCCAGGATGCTGGAGGTCAGGCTCACTACGTTTTTGGAAAAATTAATTGTTTTACTAATGGAGGATCCAGCGACAATCCAAACCCTTTCTCCTCCTAAACTCAAAGAAATCATCTTATCAGCTGGGTCCTTGGGTACACCTCACATCTTGCTCAACTCGGGTGTCGGGGATGCCGATGAACTCTCTGCGCTGGGCATTTCCTCGACCGTGCACCTTCCCGACGTCGGGAAGAACCTGACAGATCACCCCATGTGGAACCTTGCGTGGACGGTCAACGACACGAACACACTCGAGAACGTGTACTGGAGGAACGAGACGTTCCAAGCTGAGGCTCTGGAGGAATGGCAAGTAAACCGAACCGGGTTCGTAGCCAATACGTTTTCGAATCATTTGGGGTTCTTCCGTGTTGGAGAAGGGGTATTGAAAAAAGAGCCATGTGCGGGAAGGAGGACGGGGAGCTATGAGTTGATTTTCTCGGTGGGTCTGGGATGCACAGAGTGGTTGTGTGTGCTGAATTTATACATGCAGGGCGGTATACCTAGCGGTCCCATCCCGACCACTGGAGACTATATGACAGTTTCGACTGTTGTGGTATGTCCACTATCTCGTACGTCATGTCACTCTTCTTTATCCTATGGTTGATTCCCGTTTGTGAAGGTGGCAACGTTACCATTAACAGCACCGACCCCCTCGCGCCACCGGTCATCAACCCCAACTTTTTCTCGCACCCTCAGGACATGACGGTCATGCAGCAGGCCGTCCAGGGTGCTATTAAGTTCGCCACTGCGCCTGTATGGGAGGATTATATCCTAGGGCTCGCGACGAATATCACGGATCTAGAAGGGGGCATACGAAATGGGGCTGTGACGACGAATCATCCGGTTAGCACTGCCAGTATGTCACCGCGCAACGCGCCTTGGGGAGTCGTCGATCCAGATTTGAAGCTCAAGAAGGCTGTGGGAGTGAGGATCGTGGATGCGTCGGTTTTGGTGAGCGATTTTGGGTTTTGGTGGGTTTGAGTTGCTGATTTGTGGTGATAGCCATTTATACCTGCGGGGCATACGCAAGCGGCGGTGTATGCATTTGCAGAGCGGGCGGCAGATTTGATAAGGGCAGATTAAATGTGTTAAATCGTGGCAAGCAGAAACAGAAGGAAGCAATTGTTTTAGTGACGAGAACATTAGGTGCATTTTGGGGCTCGTCAATTGATCTCGACATCTTAAAGTGCAACAGAAGGTGGTCCGCCGTCGCCAAGTGTTCATTTCATGTTATCCGCAATTGTCACACTTCAGTTAACGTTCACTACTGATACTAGACATTTCTGCTTCCATGCCAGTGACTTTTCCGGTAATTACGCCATTGCACTTGCGTGAAAAAGGCTCGACGGAGGAAGAGAAGCACTACATTTAGATATATGTCAACATAAAACGATCACAAAGATACGTTGTCGGTATGAACTCACTTAGCTCCTTATAATGAGAACGTACGAACATTTTCATTGACAAGGGCGTGGAGTCTTCCGACATGTTATCGGACGAACGGGGTGAAGCAAATTCCCGTTTTCTTTGGTCTAGCTCGAGTATGCTCTCATAGGACGGGGGTTTACAGCCAGACTGGCCTTTACGACATGGACAAGGCATTCGCGACTCGCTTTGAAGCCCCAAATGCCGACTACAAGGAAGCTTCATTATATGGTCTTGGGCAATAGCATTGATAGGAACTCTGCCATTGACCCTGAATATTTTGGTTGACTAACATCATCTTCCACCAGCGCGTGCGCTTGCGACGGGGTGGATTCAGTTCCTCTGAAGGGACCCCTTCCCAGTGCCTTCACGTCACCTCCGCCGATGAGGAAGTCAAGGAAATCTTCGAGCTGTAAATGGAACTCCCTCTTGGGCATGTTCAAAACTTCTATCTGCTGAATTTTACGGAAACATTGAGACCACGCTGGATCTTTGGGACGAATGAGTGTGAGACAATAAAATGTCTCGTGTTTGCACTTCATAACGAGAATAGCGCAAACAGCGAAAAGAGTTTTGTCCTGATGCAGATACTCCAAAACTTCCTCGCGAGTCACAGAATTAAGTTTGCCAGATGTCGCGGCAATGACAAAAGCGTCTATAATTTCTGATAGCCACTCGTGAGAGATACTGGGCGCATAACATGGGTCATCGAGCTGGGGCAGACTGAAGAAACGGTGGTCAATAAAATAAGAAAAGGCCTCGTCCATGGTCAGGGAAAACCGAAGGAAATAATTGACCAGTTCGGCTGCTGGCGTGGGAGGGAGCCCGTCTTTATCGTTGCCTACTATCCCTGCATTATCCTCGTGTTGGGATAGCAATCCCGAGCGAGTACGAGAACGTACTCGAAGATACGATGCCAGTCAGCGGCAGCTGACTTGGATCGTGATCCAGACTCATTTAGTATCTCGTAGAAAGATCTCGAAGTAATATGAAATGTATTTAAGTAGAACGTTTCTCTCTCGAGAGGCTAATACTAATCCTCTGTACATTACTCTGCTCTCTACTTACAACAGGTTATGGGCCCCGGCCATAACTGAACTTACATTGCTACTCACTTCGCACTCTTTCATACTTTACATACACACGTAGAACCGCATGTGTTGGGATAGCAATCCTGAGCAAGTACGAGAACGTACTCGAAGATACGATGCCAGTCAGTGGCAGCTGACTTGGATCATGATCCGGACTTATTTAGTATCTCGTAGAAAGATCTCGAAGTAATATGAAATGTATTTAAGTAGAACGTTTCTCTCTCGAGAGGCTAATTCTAGTTCTCTGTTACATTACTCTGCTCTCTACTTACAACAGGTTATGGGCCCTGGCCATAACTGAACTTATGTCACTACTCACTTCGCACTCTTTCATACTTTACGTACACACATAGAACCGCATGGATAGCCAGTCCGTGTATAGAATTGACCCCCTTAAGGGCCCGGAAAATTATCCGACGTGGAAAATCAAGATGATCGATATCCTAACCGATTTAGGACTGATTGATTATGCAGATGGAAGCATTCTGGCCCCGGCAGACATGACACTGGTGGCAGATTGGAAGAAGAGTGATAGGAAGGCTCTTTCAACAATAAGATTGCGGGTTTCTGATGGCCCGCTGGTATATATTGCTGGTTCAAAGACTTTGGCAGAAGCCTGGAAAGCTCTGGAAGATATGTATGAGTCTAGGGGACCCATGGGAATTGTCCTTGTCAGAAGGAAATTCTTCAGAGCTCAGTGTGAAGAAGGAGAAAACATAGAGGAGCATATTAGGACTTTGAGGTCCTATCAGGAGGAGCTGGCATCCCTTAAGCAGAAAGTCAAGGAGGAGGACTTCTCTATCACACTGCTTACATCACTCCCAGAATCATGGAATTCATTCATCTCATCAGTGGATACTGCTGACTTGAAAGATTCTTACAAGTTGATTTCCCAAATTCTTCAGGAAGACATCTGACTAAAGGAAAAGACTTCTGATTGGACCATGACACTTGCAGCACATGGCAAGAAGTCCAATTCAAAAGTCATATGTTACGGATGTGGGGAAACTGGTCACATCAGAACAAATTGCCCAAATGGGAAGAAGAATTCCGGAAAGTCATGAAAAGGAAAGAGAAAGGGCCAGACTCAGGCACATATTGCCAAATTGGACTCAGAAGAAGATGACTACGTATTTTGTGCAACAGATGTCACACTTACTTCACTCTCAGGAGTATCATGGCTAAGGGACTCTAGCACCACCAGACATATAGTCAAAAATAGATTATATTTTTCTGACTATGTTGAAACCCCAGGACATGAAGTCATTGATGTAGGCAAATCCAAAGGCTTGGAAAGGGGAACTGTCAAGATTAAAATAGTTGAAGGGGAAAAGATCACTCCAGTCACACTAAAGGAGTGTATCCACTGCCCTGATGCACCATTCAATCTTATGTCGATAGGGTGCATTATAGATGCTGGATTTGAACTCAGATTCAAAGAGTCCAGAATGGATATTATCTCACCACATGGCAAGATAATCAGCCATGGAGATAAAATATCAAAGCTGTACAGCCTTGACATCATTGTTCCAGAAATAACCCAGGCCCATGCTACAAAATCAGCCCGATCATGGCAAAAGTGGCACAAAACATTAGGCCACTTAAATATGGGATCAGTAAAGAGACTATTTAGAAAGAAAATGGTCAAGGGGATGGATATAGATGAGTCAGCTGAGCCTCAGACAGATTGCATAGCTTGCATAAAAGCCAAACATTATACCAAGCCATTTCCACAGGAAGCTGAAAGAGACTATACTGAAATAAGGGAAATGACATTTTCAGATCTATGAGGGCCAGCCTGAACTCAGGGTATCCATGGTGAAAGGTATTACATAAGCTTCACAGATGGAAAATCCTGAAGGACAATGTTGTATTTTTTGAAGTCAAAGCAAGATATAGAAATTCGAAAGAAGATCCAGCAGTATCAAAAATACATCAAAGTCCACAAAGGGAAGGATCTGAAGTTTATGAGAATTGACAATGGAAAGGAATATGTCAATGAAGAGGTAAAGGAATACCTCCAGGACAATGGCATACAGTTGGAATTGACTGCAGCATACTCTCTATCTCAAAATAGAGTTGCTGAGAGAATAAATCGGACCCTTGTGGAGCATGCATGCACCATGCTAGAAGAACATCACTTACTGAAGTTTCTATGGCCCGAGGCAGTGGTATATGCCACATATTTGAAGAACCAATCACCAACCAGGGCTATCAAGAATGATCTAATCTCAGAAGAAGTGTTTCAGGGCATGAAACCAGATATTTTGGCACTTCAGGAATTTGGAGTAAAGTGCTGGGTGTTGCAGCAAGATAACAAGAGGTCAAAACTGGATCCAAAGTCAAGAAAATTTATTTTCACAGGTCTTACAGATGAATCCAGGGTCTGGAGATATTATAACCCTCAAACCAGGCAGATTCAGACCTCAAGAAATGTTATATTCCCTGAAAACAACACTACAGAGCCTATAGACACTGACTATATAGTCTCTCATCCTTCATTGCTTGAGGGAGAGTCAGAGAGCAAAGTTGAGCAGACTTCAGATGGAAATGATGGCATTTTGGATGATTCCATGGATGCCAGAAATGCCAAACCAAAAGGGGAAATAGCCCCTGATGTGTTATTGATCAAATCAAATTTCTCAATATAGCATAGGAAAGTGATTGAGCCACATGACAAACCAGTTCAGATTGCATCAAAGACTCAACCGAGTTACCAGACACTTCATAATCCAAGTGTATGAGCTGTGAAAATATCAGAACAACAGTGTACCTCAGAAGAATCATCTTTGGAAGCCGTAAATATTGCAATAGACTATGCATGCATTGGGGAAACTGCAGACAATCTCAGTGATGAGCCATTAAGCCTTGAAGAAGCCAAAACAAGGCCAGACTGGCATCATTGGAAGAAAGCAATGGATGAAGAATACAATCTATTGACTTTCCTAGGCACATGGCAGCTGGAAGAATTACCCAAAGACAGATCACTTGTGGATTGCAAGTGGACTTACAGATTGAAAAGGGATGGTAATAGGAAAATCACCAGGTATAAGGCCAGACTTGTTGCAAAAGGATTTTCACAGGTACCTGGCATTGATTTCTTTGAGACATATGCACCAGTTGTCAGGCTGGACACATTTCATCTACTCATGGCAATTGCCACTCAAAGAAACCTAATCATTCATGGAATGGACATTGTTGGAGCTTACTTAAATGGTAAACTCAATGAATCCATTTACATGGCACAGCCATCTGAATATTCAGATGGGAGTGGAAAAGCAGCACACCTCAAATTAACATTGTACAGACTCAAGCAATCTGGCTGAGTTTAGAATGACAAATTAAATGCTATATTTTTGGGACTTGGTTACATCAGATTGATCAGTGATCAATGTGTGTACATCAGACAAATGAGTTCTGGTCCCATAATCATAGCTGTACATGTTGATGACATGACATTACTTGCCTCAGATGATAAAACCATATCTAAAATGAAAGAAGAGCTTAAGAAGAAGCTAAATGTCACAGACATGGGAGAGATTCAATATATATTGGGCATGAAGATAGACAGGAATAGGGATAAGAGCACTATCACTCTATCCCAGAAGGCATATATTCTCAAAGTACTTGAGTGAATGGGTATGAATGACTGCAAACCAGTCAAAATGCCTATGGACCCAAATGTATGACTAGAGAAAATTCCGACAGAAGACCCATGAGATGTTGACACAGCCATCAGGCAATATTACCATACTGGTGTTGGATCACTAATGTATGCAGCCAATGGATCCCGGCCTGACATTGCACATGCTGTCACCGAATTAAGCAAGTATGTGCAGAATCCAGCTGCTGAGCATGTCACAGCCTTGAAGCAAGTTTTCTGCTATCTGAAGGGAACTCTAGACTTCAGAATCACATATGGAGGGACTATAGATGAGCTGATACCTTATTCAGACTCAGACTGGGGAGAAGACAGAACAGATAGAAGATCAACATCTGATTATGTCTGTACCTATGCAGGGGGAGCTGTTACTTGGAGTTCAAAGAAACAGCCCACCATAGTCTTATCCACTATGGAAGCAGAATATATGGCCCTTGCACACACAACCCAGGAAGTAATTTGGCTATGAGCACTCTTAACCGAATTAGGATTGCCACCTTATGAAGTGATGACTATTTTTGTCGACAATCAATCAGCAATCAAATTTGCCGAGAACCCTATATTCCATGCACGATCGAAGCATATAGACATATGGCACCACTTCATTTGTGAGTGCATGGCTTCAAACGAAGTCAAAGTTCAGCACTGTGCATCAGAGGAGAACTTAGCGGATATATTCACTAAAGGCCTACCAAGACCATTACATGAGTATTTATCTGCAGGTATTCTAGGAACTCGGAATTGAGGGGGAGTGTTGGGATAGCAATCCCAAGTGAGTACGAGAACGTACTCAAAGATACAGTGCCAGTCAGTGGCAGCTGACTTGGATCATGATCCGGACTTATTTAGTATCTCGTAGAAAGATCTCGAAGTAATACGAAATGTATTTAAGTAGAACGTTTCTCTCTCGAGAGGCTAATACTAATCCTCTGTACATTACTCTGCTCTCTACTTACAACACCTCGAAAGCAAGCTGGACCGTGTGGCTAACGTTGGTGTACACCAGTCTTTGGGGAGAAAACGAGGATGGAGGAATGTAGTATCAAGTAATCGAAGAAAGATCATTAGGATCATACGCTGATGCACCGAAGTATAGCCAAATTGGTCCAGTGAAATCAGCTCATATAGTTGTTTGAGTACAGCATGACAGTTGTGATCATTCAAATGATGTGAATCGATGGCCATATAAACTCCTATACTGCGTACAACCCAGTCGAAAAATTATCCAAGAATGGAAAATTGTCGAGCTGTTCGACGATACCGGTGGAGCCGACGGCCAAAAGATAACGTAAACGCTGATCTGGCGGTTCCGGGTATTCAGGGGATCGTAATAGAAGTGGCTCATCTGAGTCCGAGTCTTATAGATGAACCCCGATTAACTCATAGGCATCGAGCTAAGAGCGGCGCTGAACACACAATAGTTCGGCATGAACTTCTGGGGATAAGTCGCAGTATGCTGCAAGCGTCACATTAATCCAGGCATCGTCTATGGCCACGCGGAGAAATGAATGTATTAGGCGATCTAATGTGTTTGCTTACGACGGATCATCTAGCTGTAAAGGCTGTGAGAGGACCTCTCGAAGGGTCTTCTCGTACAGGCGCGAGATTCCATCGGCTTGGCGCATTAGAGAGTCCGCAGATCCCGAGGGTAAAGCACTGATGGCCTGTACAACGATGCTCTGAACGCTGGGGTTGGATGACATTGAAAAGAGCCATGAAAGAGCATGTACATCAGTGTCATCAGCACTAGCTTCGACAACTGAGCGCTCAACTTCCCCTAGCACGCGTATGGGTGCCTTTTCTGGAACTTGAGCCGATGTCGCCCAATATTTGGATATCGGAGAGATGTTGTGAGAAACATAGGCATAAAGAGAAAAAATGTATTGTGATGGGGGTATTTTGTAAGGGCAGGAGGGGTAAAGAACCGGGAGGAAATTTGTAACCAAATATGCGGCGAACGATATGAACGTGATGGCACCAACAACGCATGCAATCAGCACACGCAATGGGACTAGAAAGAGAATTAAACCCATAAGAAAGACGGCAAGGGAAGTTGTCATGATGACGGTAAGCATTCCGATGATGAAAGCCACATGCCACTGCTGTAGTCCCATGTATCGGAACTTACATGCGGCGTCTGTCTCGGGGGGTGCCAGACGGGACGGCCATGTACTAGTGAATCCACTGTTTGGTTAAAAAAGAAAATAAAGCGGTGGTGAGACTGAGTGAAAGGCTAGTGAACCACAGTTCGTTGACCCAACAGTCGAATGTCGCAGGGTTAAATGTCAAATAGGGGGGAAGCTCAGATCGAGGAACATCGTTCACTGGCGAACCATTCGCGACCGCGCGCTGGACGTTGACAAGCTCGAATAGAAGCGATGCAACGACATTACTGCTGTCAACCTGAAGGCTCTGGGAGGTCTGGACCACGAAAGTAGTAACAACGGCTGAGAAAAGACCAGCCTATTCAAATGTTAAGGAGGAGATTCTAAAAAAAAGCCTTAGCACTGACAAAGACGAGCAGAACATCTAGTCCATCCTTCCATCCTTCCACCATCTCGATATCGAATGCACCACATTCTTCGAGGTATGTTCTCCAGATCCTAGCAGCCAGCCTCGTATTTCTTGTCCTCCGACAGCTTGTATTCGTAGTTGAAAGGATCGCTGCCTTTTTCCCCAGTGAGATTCATAGCGACTTCCGACAAACGTTGAATATACACATGCTACCTTGGACCATATGTTCCTGATGCTGGAGACCCATCATCCCACGATTTGAACGTCGTCGTCGACGCAAAGAATAGGATGTAATATTCTCCCCTGGTTGTTGGGCTGCCGGCTGAGAATTATTATCAGACATTCTTGGACTGTTCTGGCCGTCAGTTTGTCGAACATGAATACCAGGAATCATGGCTGTAGAGTGGGTGTGAGGTCAACGCTTGCGAGACGTGCTGCTCCCGCGTGCATGATGGCACCATGCCGTGTAATAATAAGGTTGATCCGGCAGCGAAAAGTCGACATGCAAGTTGGATGTTGTGAGCAATGCGAGCGTACATAAGGTGCTGACGATCGCTCTCATTTGCAGTCAATATCGCCAGCGCCCGAAATCCTTACCACGAAATCTGCCACTTGCATTCTCTTCGTCTTCAGACAGTGAACATCTAAGGATTACAAGGCATCACCTGGGCAACAAATATTATTTTGAAGCCATCGGAATCGGTCGGAGGTGGGTGTTTGTGGATGACAGTTTCGAAAACCACGTGCGTCATAACAGCTCTCCCCGTGACCACGTTCTCGCTCATACACTGTGACCAGGTGTAATCGCCATTGACCGCCTCGATGATGGTCTTCAGGAATCTATTTTCCCCAGTAAGGTCAAAAAAATGGCGTCTATGTAACGACAACTGAAGTGCCGTTCAGATACCAAGCATCTCGTTCGCTGTCTTGCCGACCTTGTTCATCGTCAAAGGAAAATTGCGGGTTATCAAGGATGACTGCCGGGATGTAGGTGTGCTCTTCGTGCGTCTCCTGGGTCTTTCAGTGTAGCCGAGGACGAGGACTTCGAGGACTGTCCAACGCGACTCAATCTGAATGCCAAGGAAATTGTCCCCGACTCATGTCTCCCACTCTGAAATTCTCATTGCCTGGTGTTTTTTTTCTTCATTACGTGCTCAGCAACTCGCTGTATGGTTGGCCTAGTTGCGAAACGCACATATGCGTCCGGCACTTGGTATGGCCGTTCTACAACTTATGGACCCACTAGCCCTCGATTACCGTGATATCCGGATACAGTGTTTCAGCCCCAATGTGCGGTCCCTGAGGGACCGATCTAATGATTTGTTCAGACTTTGTCTAGTCTGATAAGCATTCGAGCCAATACATAGACTCTGTGCAACGTCTATCTCGCTAGCGGAGTTATGCATGGATGGAGGTATCTTACCATTATTCCAAGTACGTAAGTCGTTCATTCTTCCTGTGCTATCGCTGCTGACTATACCATCAGTGACATAGGATCCTGAATTCAAGGAACCCGAGGAGCGAGGCCGTGTCTGTAACAGGTACGCCCATCTAGTGTTGAATCGATTGTTCAATCTCGATCTCACGCATAACAGGTACGGCATCCCGAATACCTTGAAATGGCACATTTCCAGCTCTCAGTGCAGGGGGATTTAGCATCGTCGCATGCTATCGCGTACCAGCTTTGTGTTCGATTCGCGAGTCGGAGGTATAAAATGTACATATCGACGTAGTAATAATTATGAACAGGGAAACTAATACTTACACTTGTGAGCCATGAGAAGAAATCAATGGATACTTTGGAAGTGCCCCGAGCCTCTATCCAAAGCAGATACATTGCAAGTGTGCAGGAAAGTAATAATAATTCTTCTCTTCTTGACGCAATGCCACGACGGTTTGACTTGTTGCCGTGATACTGCATCGCGGTTTTATAAACGGAACATGCCAACCCTTCATTCAAGGTTGAAAAATAAATGGCTATAAAGCACAATTTTCTTCCAAAAGCTCAATATACTAATCTTGTACTAATATTTGGCTGGGACCGGAATGGGGCCAAGCCGAATACTTGTCAGCTCGGGAGGAGTATGCATCTAAATTTGGTCTTTTACATATGGTATCAAGATTGAGCAATTGATTACATACTCTGCCAATCTCCCTGAATGGATTTCTATATTCTGATAATGATCACTTTGTCAATATCATTACAGTACAAGTATGAATTGTCCTGAATATTTAAATCACTGAAGAATTGAAATGATAAAGTATTTGGAAAGAAGCACTGAGGTGATGGCTGCATAGACACTGTTATGTGCATGCCATCAGTCTCTGCATCACCTTGACCAACCATGAATTCAAACACAAGCCCCACTGGACTCCACCCATTTTCCATTACCCACCAATTTCATTTTACCATTACTATTTCACATTTGTATTTCATACTCTAGTATCTAGACCCCAAACATGGTAGTGAATAGTTGACACTGGAACCCAATGGACTCCAACTCAGACTTAGCTGTTGGAAATCCTAGGTGTCATGCAGAATAGACTCCAGGCTGGTAAGGCCAGATAGAATGAACTTCTTATTCTACAGCTCCTACAGAGCTTATATTTATACTCTCCAGGCTCATATCTAGAATTTACTACAACTTTCTCTCTCTCTTGAGCTTACTCATCAACTCTCAGCATGATGCTGGATTGCTCTTTCTAGAACTTTCCAGCAAAATCCCAACATTAGCTACCAATAGTATATAAACCACATATGAGCATTGTAAATACTCAGTTTGAATATCAGCTTGGATAGCTATCTACACTTTGTGCTCACTTCAGCTCCTCTCTATCTCATCTGTTGGATTCCACTCTGAAAGATATTCCTCTTCACTTCTCTGATGGAACTCCATTCTGCCAATCCAAATCCTTGGACCTTGACTCAAGAGTGATATTGCCAATAGCTTCATTGATGCCCATGCACTCTGCTGGTCTCTGCATGTGCACTCAAGCCCAATCAATTGGCACATTCCTAACAGACATCTGAGACTATTTGGAGACCTTCTGGAGTATATCTTAAAGCTCAAAGCTGATTGATCAATCATGATATACTCTAGATATACCTTCAGGAGACCACACCAATCTTATGTTCTCATCACCACAGTGAAGGGTCCTTGATCTTCTTCTATATTGGTATCTGAAAGCAAGAATTTATTGAAGACTTGAGGATTACTCCAATACTTAACACAACTGTATTATTTGAGCAACAAAATGAGAGCATCTAGATGCCACAATCCCAGTGAACTTCCTGGAGAACATGTTTCTGTTATATTATGACTAAGGAAGTTCAGATCATTAAATATCATTTGTATAACCAGGACAAGATTAAGCAAAGCACTATGAGTTTAAGCAACTGTGGGAGGAGAATTTCACTTCCTTCCCTTTGCAGAATAGGCTAGATGCCTATTCCATCATGCATATTCTCTTCATGTTAAAGGACTACCATCACTCTCCATTGAGAAACCATAGCATCCTTGTCACCTCCATCAAGCTCTCTGAGATGTTTATTTGTGCACTCTATTTTTGACCTCTATGGTTACAACTTATCTTATGTGATCTAAACCCAGATCCACTGTGATCATCTCTCCAATGAGCTATCCATCTAAAATTTGAGTTTCATCTGCAAACCTGTGTCTCAATCACAGCATAAATTAGAGAAAACTGCAAGACTCTTTTCTTTCAGTATCTATTCATTATGAAATTTTGAGTGCATAACATTCTTGAAGCACTTATAAACAGCATGTAGCTGCTCACTCTCTACTCACACCATGTTTTCTTCCAAGCTCTTAGGGCTGCATCTTCCTGTGATATGCTCAGCTACTATATATGACAGTATCATGGACCTGCCAATTCTCAATTTTGACTACATCATCATTGAAAATATGCATAATGCTCATACTGTCACTCATTTGTTTATTGGCAAAAAGCAATACAGCTTTTGTAACTTTCACTCATGATACTTAAATGTGGTCAGATGGAGTGATCAATTATAGTAACTTTTGATGATAAAATTCAGTATTGTTATTATATAGATAGAGTACATGATACTGATTTATTTCATCTTATTTTGCAGTCATAGTCTGTGAAGCCCAAGCGTCACATGAGCGAATACATGTGATAAACAGGCGTTCCTTCGCACTTCGAGGAATCACCTGAGTTCACTGTATGTATATCCGGACGAGGTGACCCAAGGTCAGGTATAGACTCGAGGTAGAATAGTGTGTATAAACTTTAGCTCGAAGCTGGGGTATCCCAGCGAGAGCATTCGTCCTTAAATACTGTACAGTCGTCCTCTAATTATACTACTGCTTATTATGTGTGTCTGTGGTTATGATGCTCGTTGTCCTTGAGCATCGTTACTGTACATAAAAGGGTGATTGTGTGCATCGTTGACATGACTCATAATAACTTGACGGAAGGTTAGTTGTGTCGACCAAGCTTCCCATGGTCTTGTGCCTTCTGACTCAGCATAAATAGGGGTAAAACAAAGGAAAAAGGGGAAAAAGGGGAAAAATCGTAACATTACCCCCTCCTTAAGACCATCGTCCCGATGGCTTAATTAAAGGATAGTTCATAGTCGTGTATGGCATTGTCGGCGTCCATGTATTTTTCATTTATCCATTGGTTAGATTCTGGGCCATAACCCTTCCAGCTGACCAGATAATCCACCATTGTGGTCATACCGCCGCCCCATGCTTTGACTTTGTGTAATTTATGGTTCAGCACTTGTTCGATTTCATAGTGCTCCTCGTCATCAATTAGGTCGGGGGGTGGTGGTGGAGGTCGTTCCTGATTAGGGAAGGCTGGGGCGACATATGGTGTTAAAAGGGATTCATTGAACACATCGTGGATCTTCCAGGCTGGTGGCAGTTTGAGTTTATAGGTGGATTCCCTGATCTTGGCAATGATGAGGAAAGGGTCTGTGCGTTTGTCGGCCAGTTTGCGTTTTGGTCGGGGAAGGTGGAGGTTCGTCATGTCTAACCAGACTTTGTCGTGGGTTTGGTATGCATGAGCCGGGCGTCGATGTTTGTCGTGCTGTTTTTTCATGGTGACTGCTGTTTTTTCTAGCATGGCCTTTGTTTCGGCATGGATCTTTTCCAGTGTTGCGGCGAACAGTGTGGAAGTGGGAGTCGTTGTTTTGTGATGAAGCGTTTGGGCGACGTGTGGGTGTCGGCCGTAGTTGACAAAGAAGGGTGTGAAGCCCATTGCGGAATGTACCCTGTTATTGTGTTGAAAGGCTGCGAGTGCTAGCCATTCAACCCAGTCATCCTGTCGATAGTTGATAAACAGTCGAAGGTACTTCTCAACTTCTTGGTTTGCCCGCTCGGTTTGTCCATCAGTTTGTGGATGGTAGGTGGTGGATGCGTTTTGCTTTATTTGAAGTAATTTGTATAGGTCGTCGAGAAACCTTGAGATGAATTGTGGTCCCCGGTCAGAGATGACCACTTGCGGCATCCCGTATTTGGCATACACTTCATCTCGCAATATCTTTGCCCATCCCTCCGAGGTTAGCTCCATAGAGCATGCAACCGGTATGATCGTCTTTGAGAAGCGGTCAACGATTACAAGGATTGCATCATAGCTGTTGCAATCCGGTAACCCGATGATCATGTCCACAGAAATGTGGGTCCATGGTTGTGTTGGTACTTCGTTCGGGTGCAGGGGTGCTGATCAGGGTAGTGTGGA